CCCCCCCCCCCTTACCTGCCGCAGGTGCTGCAGGACCCGCCCCCCAGGCCCCGCCCCGAAGCGCCTCCCAAGCTCCGCCCCCAACTCCGCCCACCAGCGCTCGGAGGCGTGGCCTGGCGCCGAAGGGGCGTGGCCTGGAGGCGACGGGGCGTGGCCTGATGGAGAAGGGGCGGGGCTTAGCCCAGGCCCCGCCCCCTTGAGCACGAGGTTGAGGCGTGCCGAGGGGCCGATGGCGTAATCGCACAGGCGGCGGTCATCTGCGGGTAATTAGCAGTAATTAGCGCTAATTAGCATTTCCGGCGCCGGATTAGTCGCCGTGAGGGTTGACGGGGAGTCATAGGGGTTCGTTAATTGTCTTCTGCTGACGAGCTTCTGCCTTTCCATGGGGCACAGAAGCATTGATGAGGTCTAGAGGACGGATTAATTAACGGTTCCTAGCGTTAATTAGCCTTAATTGCTCTCCCAATTAAATTCGGCTCAGGGTGTTTGGTTGCTAGCGGTGTTCGGGGTCAATTAAAACTCATTAATTAAGATGTTTTAGACCTTACATTGGGCACAGAGACACTGCCAGGATCTAGGCAAGGGATTAATTAACCTAATTAATATTAATAAGAGCTGAGTGGCATTAGGGCTATAATTAATCCCCATTAATTAGACATTTTCCTCTTTCAATGGAGCAAAGTGACACTGCCAGGGTTGATAGGAAAGCCTAATTAGCACTAATCAACCTTAATTAGTCATCTAATTAGCGTATAATTGGTGTTATTGCACAAACAGTAGCGATAGTAATTAATTAATTCTCTTTAATTAGACACTTTCCTCATAAGTAGAGCATTGGTGCCACTAGGCGGGGTGCTAAGGGTTAATTAACCCCAATTAATTGGCTGTTCCCCCAATAAGTGACGTTAATTAAGAGCTAATTAGGGCTAATTGGGGTTAAAGCGATTCTAATGGATCCATTGGGAGCCATTTGCGGGGTAATCAGGGATTAATTAAGGATTAATGAGAAGATAAATCAAGGCAATGAGAACAACTCGGGGTTATTAGGATTAATGAAGACTCATCGCACGCAATTAGCGATCCCCACGGCTAATTAAGGCTAATTAGCACCCTCCCACCATCACCATCAGCACTTCCCGTGGGCCAATCAGAACTAATTAAGGCCTAATAAAAAGCCAATCAAACAGCAGCGTGGCCAATAGCGGCCAAGCGGCATTAATTAAACTCATTATTAGCATTAATTAGCAAGCCTATTAACGGGGGTGGGGGAGGGACCGAGCAACCTAACGAGCGCTTAATGAGGCTGAATTAAAAAGGGGGAGGGGAGGAGAAGGATGGGGAAAAAGGAGCCGGGGGGGGTGAGGGGGGGGTTGGTATTAATTAGCGCTAATTAATGAGTAATTAATGAGGTACCTGCCAGTGCTTTGCCGCGGTACAGCAGGCGCTGCTGGGCTGGAGGAACGCTGAGCCGTTCCGCTAATTGCTGCTTCAGCGACCACACCAGGTCCTGCGGGGACACCTGAGGGACCCCGCTAATTAGGGACCGCTAATTAGGGACCCCTAATTGGGACACCCCCATAGAACCCCATTTTGGGAAATCCAGCCCCATAGACCCCAATTGGGGACCCTTAATTTGGGACCCAAACATGGGACCCCCCCATAGGCCCCCATTTGGGGAACCCCCCCCTCCCCATA